CCTCATTTTACGAACTTTAGTGCCACGGTTGTTGAGAGAATCAGGCAGTTGTCAAGCAAACCCCTATTGACCTTAATTGTCAGTCGCCAATCTGGAGCACGTGACCCAGGGAGGGTGCAACGTGAGTACATGCAGGTTGCCAAGAACCCCAATTCTGATCACCAAATCGTAAAGACTGGCCCTAAGTTACTTTTTCAGGGCCATCATAACTAGGATGGAAAATGTGTTGGGTTGTGCTTTCCAACTAGCTGGGAAAGCAGCTGGGAAAGAAACTCATTTGCATTTGAAATTGTTTGCATTTCCTCTGTTCAGTTCGTGAAATGTTATTCCTGAATGTGGCATCAAAGGTTCCTCCTGTCATCAGCCAGATGTGCTCACTGCCCCTTTCTCAAAAGCGAGGAGGATTTTGACCTCTGCAGGAAGCCATTTTGACCTTCCCCCACTCCCAGGGCCTAGCTCAAGGGGGGGGGTATTCTGAGTCCAAGGCTTTTGGATTTAACCTCCTCCTGGATTAACGTAACCCCTTCTTTGAGAAGTGAGAGGTCTTGGCCTATTTGGCAACGACACCGATGGCATCTGGATCTGAAATTCAGAGATCTGCTACTGGACAAGAGAGCAACAGAACTGTGCAATCCCAGCAGCCGGACTTCTGAAAACCTTGCAGTTTTCCTACTAAGAAGGATTGCAGTTTTGTTCCAACATCACATCCATATTCATTTACTTTGAGAGGGACCAGCTTCCTCACCATCAGCAGCACCCCAATGGCTAAAATGCAGGGCTGGAGGCATTCCCCCCCCCCCTTTTTTTTTCTTTCCTCAGGATTTTTTTTTTAACCCATATGTTTCCTGCATTTTGTTAAAGGGCTGTTGTTGGTTTTTTTTTAAATCTTCTGCTTTTAAGCTTTCGTGCCTGAACAAGCAGACAGGAGCTGCAGAAGACTTAGCTGCCTTTGCCTTCTCTTTTCAGTTTTTTTCTTCTTCTTCCAAGCAACGAAACAGCTGCAGCATTTGGATTTGGCTGCTTTTCCGAACAGAAAACATGGCTTTGAATCCTAAAGGGCATTCTGCCAATTACTGGGATCTACAGTACCTCAGGAGTGTCAACTTTTCAGAAAAGCTTCCTTCTTCCCGAAGCTGTCGCTGTTTGAACGAGTTCTCCAGCCAAGCCCAGGAATGCTTCTCAGCCACTTCTGCGGTTGGGTGGATTTGCAGCCATCACCAGCCCATGCAGCTCCCCCCTCCTTCTTTTGTCTCTCTTCCCCCAGCTATTGATCCAGTCTGTCCATCTTCAGGCTCCCTCCAGGAGGAGAGATACTCATTTCCATTCTGAACGAGATAGGCTAGAAAATGTCTGGCTAATTATGAGCAGGGAAGATCAGAGTCAATGGAAGACGAGCCAGCACAAAACAGCAGAGATCAACTTCTCCGAACTGGAGTTTGGAAGGATTGCGACTGCACAAAGGGGGGGGGGTTAAAAGGCCTCCCTTCTGCCCCCCCCTTAACACCCTCTGAACCTTTAACTGCCAACCAGCCTCAGAATAAACGAACAATCCTAGCAACTCATTGACGCCATCAATGAGCAGGAATCCCCCCAGGATAACGGGAGAGGCCAGAGGTGGGATCTACCTACCCGAGGACAATCTTCCTTTCTGGATTTCACATGCACCTCAGGATCAAAGCCCGAATCAGAAGTATCCCAAACTGTCCCTCCCTCTATAAAATTAAGTCTTTGGAGCCCATTCCTTGGTAACTGCCCCCAAAATAAATTTATTTGTTCTGGGGAATAAAATGAATCTCCTTTCTCACAGTATGTCTGGATTTCATTTGTGATTTGTGCTTATGCCACCCCCCAGCTCGTGGAACCCCCAAATTGTTTTTCTAGCACTAGCTCCAGAGACATAGGCCCACTCAGTAGCCAAATACTTCGGGTTATTGAAGCATTGAACCTAATTGTATGCTTTCATTTTTCCATATGAACTGGAGGTGCAGAAGAGGAGGGGGGCTGGCATTCAGTCTGGGATGGCTGATTCCTTAACCAAGTGTGCCTTTCGCTTCTAGGGAGCCTTGTTTTCTCTTGCATGGAAGTGGGGACTTTGGCTCGCTACTTTTTCCAGGAGTGGAAAATAACTGTATTCCCTCAATACCTTTAACCACCTACACGAAGTTACCTATTTCCTGGATTCTTGCAGGGCATTGAACTCCAAACTTGTCACCCTTCCCAAGTTATCATAATTAACTCTGATCAGTGTTATCTAGTCTGTCCTCCAAATGACTCCTCCTGTGATGCTGGTGCTTGATACACAAAGAGAGGACACGCTCTGGAAGGAAGGAAGGAAGGAAGGAAGGAAGGAAGGAAGGAAGGAAGGAAGGAAGGAAGGAAGGAAGGTTCACAATTTGTTCCATGCCATGGAAGACTGAATGAAAACGCATGGGAACCTTCGTTTTCTCCTAAAGATGCCTCACCTTAGTGAACAAATCTGCAAACTAGTGGAAGTTGGAAGGGCATTGTCCAGATGTACAAAGAGAGAAAGAGAGGAGGGGGCCATGCGTGCCCAGAGGCCATCTCTATGGCAACAACAGGCGACCAAGGCCGGCTGCTATGGAGGCGCCACCATGGGGCTGCGGTTATCTCTGGACAAGTCACAGGAAGATGGAATGTCTGCTCTGCATTTTGAGCCACTCCAGACATAGCAAGGCCCTTCTCTTCTCAGCTCTGGAGCTGCCAGGTCCCATCCCAGAAGACCCAATGCTTTTGTTGTTTAGTGGTCATGTTTTTGCAACCCTATGGACCACAACACACCAGGTCCCCCAGCCTCCCCCTGTCTCCTGGAGTTTGCTCAAATTCATGTTCACTACATTAATATCTCTATCTTACCATTTCATCCTCTGCTGTCCCCTTCTTCTTTTGCCTCCCATCTTTCCAACATCAGTTTTTTTCTCCAAGGAGTCCTCTCTTCTCACATGGTGGCCAACGTATTTGAGCTTTAGCTTCAGCATCTGTCCTTCCAAAGAGCAGGGTTGATTTCCTTTAGGATGGACTGATTGGATCTCCTTGCAGTTCAAGAAGCATCAGAACCAGAGAGTTCCTTCTGTGCTCCTGTAGGACCTTCTGACTTCTCAACTCCAAATGGTAGAGGCTGTCCCTGGTAGACTGGCCGCTGATCTCCTGAGGCTTTGATCTCTCCATCTCCACAGCTCTTTTGTGCACCCCTGGATCCACCCTGCAGTCTTTGGTGCCTGATTTAAAGATAATTTAATGTCATGGTTAGATTTTGGGGTCACAGAATACCATCCCAATATCTTTTTTATGAACCAAGCAAACGAGCTTAGATGAAGAGGGCCAGGTTCACTGAACATATCAAATCCAGTGTAGGCACAGCTTATTAAACCTGACTTTAGCTCTGACTATGTGTCTATGCTTGTGTGTGAGTGAAGTTTGGGATTAGTTTATGATTCTGTGGCTTGAGCAACCCCAGAAAATAGATGAGTTCAGTCACCCAGGGTGTGATAGGAACACAGCTGTAGGAACATTAGGAACTACCTGCTTTAGTTCATCAATGGAAGGCTGGTCCTTGAACAATTGGCTGGCATCCCGGAAGACACATCAAGGATTTGGTGTAAATCCAGAGGTGTGCTTCCATTCAGCCCCAAAATGGACCCTGTTCCATTTCGGCTTAAATCTTTCTACATTCACCAAGGGCCCCCCAGAACTGTGCCTTCTCTCTATAAAAGAGAAGGGCCAAAACCCTACCCAGGGAAATCAGAAATACATTCTCCAGACCCTGAGAACAGCAAGGGGGAAATGGCAGGGGGGGGGGGAACCAGCCTCTGAGAAATGGCAAAGTAAATCTCAACCCAGCCTGGGTCTTTAATAACAAAACAGAAGAGAGTTAAGTCTGTCAATCCAAATGCCGCTGCGTTGTTTTCATCAGTGCTTGTTCCGGAGAGGCTGAGTGGTCCTGTGTCTCAGCAGTCTCTGCCTTTGATTTCCTACTCTTTGTTCCTTATTTTTTTCTTTTTTCTTTCCTGCTTGGGACCCGATTGGCAGAACGGCAGAAGAAGCAGAGAAAAGAAGAACATCTGCAGTGATTTGTGGGCCAAGTTACCAGAGATAAAATCGTGGCTGCATTTTAATGTCTTACCGGCTGGCTGTTTGGAGATGGCTTCCTTGTAAAACAGGGCGAGTTGGACACCTGCGTGGACAGCCACATTATGCCCTTATTTGCAAACCAGCAAACCAGCCTTTTCTAAAGAAAGAGAAAAGAAGTGACTCTTGATGATAAGAGTCTAGGATGATGTCCAAATCATATTGGTGTGAGCAGATCAGTGGTATCGGTGTGCTAACATTTCTATGCACGTGTCTTTAGAGCAATGTTTTTCAACCTTGGACACTTAAAGATGGGTGAACTTCAACTCCCAGAATTCTCCCTGGGGAATTCTGGGAGTGGACGGTCACCCATTTTCAAGTGGCCATGGTTGAAGAAAACTGCTTTAGAGCATTGCCAGTTAATGATCTGTGTGCATACAAAACCATGAAAGCATTTGCTTGTGTCTGTTTGCTCAATTGTGTACGCAAAGCAGTGATCCTGCAGGTGCCTCTGTCTTTTGCAGTGGACAGACTTTGCTGGTATCCAGGCGGCAGCCCTGTGCAAAGCAAGTGAGCAGCTGCTTGGGTTGTACTGTCAGCTGTAGTGTGCCTGTGTGTGTGTGTGTGTGTGTGCGTGTGCAGATGGTGCATCTCTGGACTATAGAAAAACCCAGGTCAAGAAAAAAGATGTGAGGCTGATTTGCCTCTCATCAGATCTTAATAAAATCCTTGAGGTTGTTTGTCCATCATCAGCCACCCTTAAAGGCAGGCTGCATCCTCATGAATCTAGTGGGGGAATGTTAATGGGAAGGAAGGGAGGAGGGGAAGGAGGGAGGGAGGCCATTTGTGGTGCCTTAAAAGTGTACATGGAACCATCCACCGAAATGGTGGTCAACATACTCAAAGGGCCACGGGGAAAAGCAGGGTTAAGTTAACAGGAAAACTGTGGACATCAAATGGTGTGTAATGTTCCAGAAAGTAACTCAGCCTTCTTCAGAGTGGCCAGGAGTTTAGGGAAATCCTGGTAGGGAAACACAGAGTTAACTTACATAAGACTTTTGTGGAGCTCTGAGGTAAGCCCTCTTTAGAGTTGCAGAATTCTCCCTCACTATCCTCTGTGCATCATCGTCCATCGTGCCTAAAAATACAACAGCAGGTGCTCTGTGGGGTTTCCAATGCAACCAGAACTGCAAAACCGAGCTTTTCTTAAAAATATCATTGCTCTCATAAAGAGCAGCCAGATTCCAGAGCTACTGCACCAATTACAAAGCGTGTCAGTTGGGAATAGCTGGTTGGGGCAAGGAGAGACGGGGTTTGAGAATATCCAAGGGGTGCTCCAAATCCTGGGAGAATCAATTGCAGAGGCCAGGAATCTCAGCACCGAGGAAAGATCTTTCTGTTCAAACAACAGAAACAGACACTAACCAGGCATTCTGGAATTGCTGCATCTGCGCTCTGTGCTGTGCTGAGGACTCTTCAAACAGCTTCAAGATCCTGTGTTGTTTTTGTTGCACTGGCTGGACCCAGAGACTCATCCGCTAAGTGCTTTTTACAGAGTCAAAGGTGAAGGGCAAAATGCCAGACGTCCAGGCGGCACAGTTGCCAGGGTGAAGGTTTGCTGGAGAGAGCAGGAAACAATCAGCTGCACCTTCTGTGTTTTTTTGGTGTGCAAAATTTAATGTTTCCTTCCCAGGCTGAAAGGCTGCCTTCAGGGCTCAGTGCTGGGAGGCCAAATCAGAAGACACTGGAGCATTTGCTGAACGGGGAAGAAAAAAGATGATGCAGCACCAACCCAGTTCAGCTCCTGCTTCTTTGAAGGACAGCCACACCTGCAACATAGGGGGTGAGCTGCTGAGATAACTAAAGAGATGATACCATTTTAAATGGAGCATCAGCTTCATCCGATGCTTCTCATTTGCAAACCTTCCTTGCACCCACAGCTTTTGGCCTGATGTGATACTTGTCTGCTGCAGCTCGAAGGAGTTTCTAATTCAGCCTGTGTGGTTTTGTTTAAGCTCATGAGAACATCCCAAAGCAATATGCCTTTGCTCACACAATGGGGTAAATTCCGTTCCACGTGTCCATAACCCTTCAACCTGATTTTGTTGGAGGGGAGATCCTTTGGCTGGAATCTCAGGAGGAGCTAAGCCTCCTGAAAGTTTAGCCAAACAGCCCCCATCACCGGGTTCACTCCTTCCATGAGTGACTCCTTCACCAGAGTCTTCAGCCAGGATTGATTTATGACATAGGAATTGAAGTTCCCAGCCAGGCTTCCTTATATTGTGAATTCTGGTATCCATAAGGACAAAATGGCAGCTGTTCAGTGTTGGAATCAAACTATACGTCCTGCTTGAGAGCTGGAGACAAATAGGGCCGGGCTTATTTTGTGGTTAGCGTACTGTGCACGCACAGCTCTGATGCCCTCTTCTGCCTTTGCTAAAATTCCTCTCTGGTTCTCCCATGGGCAGGGAAAGCGTGAGTCTGTCAGTACAGGGAGATGGATTGTAACCACTGCACAACTGCATTGTTGACTCTTTTGTACCTATTTGCAAAGCCAGAGTGGAGGAGAAACAGAGAGAGGGAGGGAGGGAGGGAGGGAGGGAGGGAGAGAGAGAGAGATCTGCCTTCGACTCCAGCATTTGTTTATTTGTTTGCAAAGCAGAACCAATGACAAAGCCACAACAATTCAAGGTGAAAAGTTGGGCGGGGCTGAGAGAGAAGAGGAAAAAAATGCGTTGACTTTAATCCTCCAGTTTCTGCTTTTTCTCTCCGCAGATAACAAGGCCCAGCCATGCAGTCCTTTCGTGAAAGGTGTGGTTTCCATGGCAACCAGCAGAACTACCAGCCGACTTCTTCGCAAGATTCATCACGCCTGGAGAATTACAGGCATCAAAGCCCAGCCTGCGAACGTCAGAGGCTGGTGACAAAAGAGTATTACAGCCCCCAGCAGCCACCTCCTCAGCTGCCCCCATTGCCGTACCAAGCCTTTGGTGAAAACAGCACCGTGGAGAAGTACCACCGGGGAAGCAATAAGCCGTTACGCGGCCAGCAGCTGCCCAGCAGGCCGTCCTCCTTCCCCAATTACCCCATCCAAGAGAATAGCCCCTACCCTTCTCGCTATGCTGGAGAGGACAGCCTGCAGGGGTGGGGGTCCCCGCAGCAGCAGCAGCAACCTCCTCAACCTTTACCTGGCGGGGTGGCCAAATATGACGATAACCTGATGAAAAAGACGGCGGCCCCATCCAGTAGCAGGCAGTACCATGAACAGACACCCCAGCTGCCCTTCCGAAGTCACTCCTTGCATCTCCAGCCGCAGCCGGGACCTCAGCCCTCTCCCCTGACCTACCCCAAGCTCCCCAGGCAGAAGATGCAGAACGAGGTGTCCTCCTCGCTACCCTTCTCACAGGGGTCCCACTTTCCACAGCATTCCCAGTCCTTTCCGGCTTCCTCCACCTACACATCAGTCCAGAGCGGGGGCCAGACAGCTCATTCCTACAAAAGTTGCAACCCTCCTCCTGCCCCACCCACACATGAAAGGGGTCTGGGCAGTGCCGCTAACTTGCCCGCTGCACAACGGGTCCAGGGTTTACACAGCTATCAGCCCAACCGAATCAGCTATGAGCAACAGCCGCAACAGCCACCGCCACCTCCACCTCCACCCTCTCTGCAAGGTCGACACCATGCTCAGGAGGCCTTGCACTATCAAAACCTAGCAAAATACCAACATTATAACCAGCCAGGACAGAGTTACTGCCAAGCTGATGCTCCAGTGAGGACACCGGACCAGTATTACCAAACATTTAGCCCTAGCTCAAGTCACTCTCCAGCTCGTTCTGTTGGGAGATCCCCGTCCTACAGTTCAACGCCTTCTCCCTTGATGCCTAACTTAGAGAACTTCCAATATAGCCAGCAGTCGCTGACTGCTGGGACATTTCCAGCCAGCCTTGCTGACCATAGCCACTTCATGCCTTTGCTGAACCCGTCGCCGACCGATGGGGCAAGCTCCGACGCCCAGCCACCTGCCAATTGCAAGAACTTGTCCAAGGAGAAGATCCCCGAGAACCTCTTATCGGATCTGAGTCTTCAAAGCCTCACAGCCCTTACCTCTCAAGTGGAAAACATCTCCAACACTGTCCAGCAGCTTCTCCTTTCCAAGTCCACGGGGATGCCGCAGAAGAAGGGGATCAAAAATTCACCGAGGACTCCAGAGCAACTCAAGGGACAGCACTGCAGCCCTGAGGGTAACAATTATTCTGCAGAGCAAGCGGGGACTCCACACTCGGACCCACTCAGCACCCCCCAGTCAGTCCATGCTGAAACCCAAGACACCGATTACCTAAGTGGCTCCGAAGACCAGCTGGAGAGGGGCTTCCTGTACTGCAGTCAAAGCCGTAGCCCAGCTCGGGTCAATAGCAATTCCAAACCCAAGCCCGAATCTGTGTCCACCTGCTCAGTGACTTCTCCAGATGACATGTCGACCAAGTCCGATGATTCCTTCCAAAGCATTCATGCCAGCCTGCCATTGGAGAGCTTTACAAAGTTTGTTGCCGGTGAAAGAGATTGCCCCCGGCTGCTCCTCAGCGCCCTTTCTCAAGAGGAGCTGGCATCTGAAATTATTGGTCTGCAGGATGCTATCAACGAGAAAGCAGACAAAGGCTGGGCCAATTCTCCTGCTCCAAACAAAGACCCAGACAAATCTCCCTTCCACTTAGAGAATCACAGGACTTGCCTTGATTCTGTGGTCAAAAGTCCCTGGTCCAACCAGGGGGACTCCAACGCTCTTGCTGAACCCTTGAAGATAGACAAAGGACTGGGACGTAATAATGGGAAGAATTTCACTGAGGAGGTTTATGACAACTCCCAGGTTTCCTTCACCACAACCGAGACGAAGAATTCCCTAAAAACCACCAGCTCTGTGGGCTACAGTGCCAAGCCAAACATCTCGGTGGCCACATCCAGTTCTGAGACCCCCAGAAGCTTCAGCTGCTATTCCAATGCCCCTGCCAATTCAGTGAGTTCTGAAAATGCCATGGAGAACTTTGAGTGGCCAGATGAGAACCTCAGTGACACTTGGAAAGAGCTCGGGTCGAGCCTCCAATCTTCAGAACTTCCCAAGAGCTTATTCTCTGGCAAACTGAGCGAACCTTCTGAGGAGAAAAAAAATGCCTCCTGCTTGAGTCTCTGTGGTCCTGAAGGTTCAGCTGAAGGTGAAAGGATCGCAGGATTCAGTCAACAGCAGCAGGCCAGCAAAGGGGAGGGCTTAAATTATGATGAGGCCACAAGGACAGAGAGTGAACGATGGCTGGAGGACACTGCCAGGAACTCCTGTTCAGGAGAAGACTTCAGCGAACTCCCCATGATGTCTTCTCCAGACCTGAAAGAATCTGATTTGGAACCCGAAGAGTATTCCTCTTTGTGTGAATTAGCTGGCTCTGAGCAAAAGACTTTGCCTTACGATGCCTTCACTCCTAAGCCTGCAGGAAATGCCCGAGTTCTTTCTTTCCAAGACACTCCAGGATCAGCAGAAGAAGCCACCAACACGGTTGAGAAAGAGAACACTGCTCCTCCTTCTCACTTGTCCGATCCATCTGTTCTCCTTTTAGGACCAGCAGTTGGCACAGACACGAAAGTGAAAAGCTGGTTTGAAACTTCTCTGCACCCCTTGAAGCCCAAGGAAGAGTCAGCAGCTGGTGAAAATGCCCCTCAAGATAAGACTGAGATGTCAACTACCTTGCTGTTGAAGAAACAAGTCCTACCAGATAAGCTGACCATAACATCAGAACCCACCTCCAGAGGTAAAAGTCTTCGGAATAAAAAGCTACAGTGTAGACTGTCGGGTGGAGAAGAGCCTATTCAGTCCATGTCAAATCCAAGTTTAGGCATTCAAGCAGCTGGCCTGGTGGCCAATACATGCCCAGCTTCCAACAGTCTGATTGAAATGCCCAGTAAGAACACCCATGGCCAGACTCCCAGGTTCCCCACAGAAGGCTTGCCGGCCAGGATGTGTACCCGTTCCTTTACTGCAATGACTGAACCACGAATGCCAGACCCTCTAGAAGGTGCTAAAGCTTCAACTCCTCATGAGAAGTTGGGGGGCAAGAAGTCAGTGTGTGTTTTGAAAGAGAGAGTGGCCTTCAAAGCTAGGAAGGCCAATGGGAAGACATCGCCAAAGTCCTGCAATCCATTTCCTCCCTTGATCTCCAACTTGACCCAGAATGAAGACTCTGTTGTTACCAAGGCCAAAGAAGCCGACATGGTAGAAACCGAGATGAAAGATCAACAATCCATGATTCTCCGTTCCAGGACCCGGACTCAGGAGGTCTTCTACACCAAGCGAAGGAGGGAGAAAACCATGGTGGAAGTAGACTTCAAAAATGCCAAACTGCCCAGGAAGGTGTTCCCCAACAACCACCTGCCGGGATCCTTCAAGATCAGTTCTGAGAAGGAGACCAAGCTGGGCAAACAAATGAAAGCCAGGCCAGAAATGGCCGGCAAAATATCTGAGAGGCCACTCCATGCCCTGAAAAGAAAGTCTGTTTTCCTGCCCCCGATTCCTGCTAAGAAACGGAACCTGATCCTACGAAGTAACAATCACAGCAGCAGCAGTGGGAAGGAAGAGACGCCAGACATGTCTTCTGGCCTTTTTAAGAGGATGCCGTCCTCCAGGCGAACCAGTGTGAAACCATCTCCCAAGAACTCCTGTGAAGTGATGCTCAAGTCCCCCCAGGCAAAAGAAAACCCAGGGGTCTGCATCAAAATCACCTCCCGGGCTTCCTTCCAGGGTGCGATGAAGACCAAAGTTCTGCCCCCGAGGAAAGGACGGGGCTTGAAGCTGGAAGCGATTGTGCAGAAGATCACCTCTCCCAACCTGAAAAAGTTTGCCTGCAGAACGGTGGCCACTGCCATCCCCACCGTGGTTCCCGCGGTCACTGCTGCTACCACCGCCCACAGCAATCCTCTCAGCCCTTCCCTTCCAGAGCGGGAACAGGCCTCAAAGATTACCAGTGGAACCCCAGCCATGGGGGAAGCTCGGCCATTAAACCAGGCTTTATCACAAAAGGCTCCCGCCGCTCCAGCAGCCGAGCAATTATGCAGAAACCCAAACAACAGATCCTTCAGAGGAAAACTAATGAACAGTAAGAAACTGTCCTCCAACTGCTTCAAGGGTGAGGCCTATTCATCTCCCGAGACATTGCAGCTCAGCGGGGACAGCATGGCTGCAAGCACCGTCTGCCTGCTGCCTAAGAAGAGGAACAGAAAGGGGAAAGCTGCCTCCTTCCACGTGGCCAAAAATAGCTTGGAGAAGTGTCCTCACCTGAGCCCGGCTTTGTTCCTTGCAACCCAAGAGAAACCTGGGGTGGTGGCGGTGGCCACGGCGGCTGGGAAAGGCGATGAGGGACAAAGGGAAGGGAAAAAGCCCAAAGGCGAAGACAAAGGCTTGGGGAGCACCGAGAGTGTGGAAGGGAGGTCCCCCGAGGCCCAGACGCGGGCCCAGAAGCAGCGAGCCCACCATGCCAACTACAACGGCTACACCAAGAGACAAAGGAAGCATCACAAGCGCCGGAAGGTCCAAAGTGTACCCTCGCGGTGCAAAAACAAGACCAGGCGACGGCACCAACAGCAGGCACCTCTGCTGAGCCCCACGGAGCCCGAGATCCGGCTCAAGTATGTCTCCTGTAAGCGGCTGAGGGCGGACAGCCGGGCACCACCCTTCTCACCATACATCCGGATGGAGAAGTGGGATGAATACATCACCACCTGCACGGTCGTCAACTGCCCAGCTGAAGAGGCGAAACTCCACAATGAGCAGCAGCAGCAGCACACTTCTTTGTTTTCTTCTTTGTCTGCCCAAGCTGGGCTTTTTGGGACCGCTTGTCTGCGGCCTCCAGCCATCCTACCTCTGTCGTCCATGATGCACCTTGGGCCGGTGGTCTCCAAGGCCCTCAATACTGCCTGCTTGGTCTGCTGCTTGTGCCGTCAACCGGCCAATTACAAAGACCAGGGGGACCTCTGTGGGCCATACTACCCCGAGGACTGCCTGCCGAAGAAGAAATCGAGGCTGAAAGAGAAGGTCAAAGTAGAGGGGCTGGGAGAAGGACCTCCCTCGTCCTCGTTGGCAGAAAGACTGCTCAAAGCAACAGATAATAATTGGGCAACCGGTTCTCTGGGGGGAAAGCCACCAAGGTTGGACAATGGTGCTGACTCAGCAAGACAGAGTGCTCTCCGTTCGAGTTCAAGGGGACTGTTTAGGAAACTGCAAAGCTGTTATTGTTGCGATGAGAGGACAGAGGGAGAGGAGGCTACGGCAGGGGTGACAGTAGCAGCAGTTGAGAAGCTTCGGAGGCACGAATGCGGCAAAGCTGATTCGCCACTGCCAGACCCTGCTGGAGAGACGCAGGAGCACTGGGTTCATGAAGCCTGTGCTATATGGACAGCTGGGGTGTACCTCGTGGCAGGGAAACTCTATGGACTGCAGGAGGCAATAAAGATGGCCGTGGATGTGGTAAGAGGAACACCCTGGGAGTGATTGTGGTGTCCCTGGGGACAGAAACAATGACAGGCTCACCTAGTGCTCATCAGAGTCAAGGAAGCTGCACAGCAAGAGGCGGCAGGCTGCGGTGGGAGGGAGAGAAGGAAGGCAGTGGGGTAGCCAAAGTTGGAGGATACTCAGATCTGTATCTGCAGCAGGCTTTGGAGAAGAGCCAAGGAATGCAGCCAAGTCTGTCTGATCCTAATGCTCCCACCTGGTTGCTTCTGGTTGGATCAACTCTAGAAGGTTTAGGGTTTCTCTACTTTTTTCAGTTGATATTAGTTTTATCTTCTTGCTTGGGAAAACAGACACTCCCTTTAAGAACGTAAGAAGAACACGATTGTATCCAAGTCCTGAGTTTGCAAACTTCAGACCAACTCAAGAATTTTTGTAGCTCAGGGTGTTAATGAGGGTTCCTTGGATACTCTCTGAACTTGGTTGTTTTTTTGCAGATGTTTCACGGCCCAACTAGGTAATGTCATCAATGCTAGAAGCGAGTGGGGTTTGCAGGGAGGAGGAGGAGGAGGAGGCGGAGGAGGACTGTAAGGTCCTTGGCGTTCTCTGAGCTTGGTTGTTTTCTTGTAGATCTTTTATTACCCAAACCAGGTAACATCATAGCACTGACTAGCACTAATGATATTACCTAGTTTGGATAATGAAACATTTGCAAGAAAACAATCAAACTCAGAAAGCACCAAGGAGCCGTGAAACTCAAGACTTGGATATAATAGGGCTTTTCTTCCATTCTTACAAAGAGTGTAATTACACAAGGAGACATGGGCCTTCTGGCTTCCTACAGTACACAATTTTGTTTGGCCAAAGAGGGGTCCCAGGAAGAAATGCCTGTCAAAGTAACTCCATGGATATGTGTGGAGGGAGGGAGGCTGGCACCCTTCAGAAAAACAATCTCTGCCTCTCTTGAGTTGCTGATGGCTTCCTGGAGGTTTTCAGATGGTGGATAGAATGACATTTCTGGTTGGTGCCTCTTACATGCCCATCAGTGGAGCAGGAAGGCTGTCGGTCCTTGTCATTGATCACGCTGTGGTATATTATGCCTGGTCATGGAGGTTCCTTTCAGCAAGGGTTGGTGGCAGCTACTGCAACATTCTGCGGATCTGATTATGCATCCCCCAAAGTGTAACTGTGAGAATGATCTGCCCATTATGTGTTCTCTATACAAATATCCACATTTTTCCAGCTGATCCTAATAAGTAGGCAAGACAAGGAATTTGAGGATCTCAAACTGTAACGGAATTGCAAGGAGTTGCTGGGAAATGTAAGAAACACCACAGAGAGCATGTCATAGCAGAGGTGTGCCTCTTGGGAAATAACCCAGGATCTTCTAAAGAAAGTAGATGATGTTTTGGTCTCTCTTACTTGCCTTCTGACTCTCTCAGCTGCTGTCCAAGGTGGTAGGTCTTCTCTCTCATGACTTCACTTGGCTGGTTTCTTTTTTGTAGAGAGCATCTCCCCAAAGTAAATATTTTGCAGCCCCTTCTTCATCTGGGGCACATTTCTTTTTAACCCGCCATCCTTTCACCCATTTCTAGAATATGCTTCAAAAAAAGTTCTGCAGAGTCTTGTAGTTGAGAAGGAGTCTGTCAAGCCAGGTTGTCCTCATGAAATTAGGTAAGACATGACAAGAGCGTGACAACTTCTGCTTCACATAGATGGTCTGGAAATTGGCCCCTCATTCAGCCGAGGGGAGCTTGGAAAAGGTCCCACCACTCTGCAAGAGAGGAAGAAAGATGTGAATCTTGAAATTTGGCTGAAGATGATCAGTGCTGGGACTCACCTGGGTGTTAGGGCCCAAACTCAGGGACCTAAATGTCAGGTCTTTCTTGTGAGCAACCTGGCAGAGGACTCACCTCATCAGGGACCTCTGAGGAAGACTTTGAGGGTATATGATGGAGGAAGATCTGCCAAATGGCCAAAGCCACCCTTGACAGATCTTCCACCAGAAGATGCTCACCCTTCCTGTTGACTCTGGCAAAGAGTCAGGATCTGAGCACCTCCCAAAGTCCATGTTGGGTGCCTGTCTGAAACTTTGGCAAGCAGCAACCATGAGTGCTGGCAAACTCGTACAAAACTAGTGACCTAGTCTTCACCTTTCCAAAGTCTTAATGTCACTATTTTGAAGTGTCTGCTGTACAAAAGACCAGGTTGTGGTTCTGTGTTGGAAATAAGTTACTATTAGCGAGACAGTTGAATAGCATAACCCCAGCCAAAGGTATTGGGCTTCACTTCATTCAGAGTGCTTCAAGCAGAATATGGACAGCTGTCAGCCTGGGAGGTTTTCATTTGGTTCCCTGAATGGAGACAGATTTTATGCCGTAGAAGGTCTCTTAGGAAATTCAGAGTCTCATTCCACCATAGGACATATTCCCCAATAAGGCTTAAAGCAGCTGGTTCACCACTTGGGTGTACAAGGAAACTATAAGAAAATCAAATTGCTCAGGCATAATAATGCTGATGTTTCTCACCAGGTCCAGTGAGTTCCCGAGTCAGAAAACTTTCTCAGATGTGTAAAAAAAATGAGCTGTACATGCCCAAGAGTGACCATTAGGGCTATGTTTTACAAAAGTGGGCTGTGCTAGAATTCCTTGGCAAATTTGTCAATACTGACCCTCTTCGTTAGATGGTTTGGCCAGGAAAATGGAATCCAGTGAAGTGAAAATGAGGGTTCAATTATCCTGGGAAGATACAGTAATTTATGTTTTCTGGCATCAGAGAAGGACAACAATCATGAATTCCAACTAGTCCAGATAAACGCCAAGAACTTTGATCCTTCAGGTAGATCACCTTTGCCCAAATTCACTCTGGATGGAGGGGAGGTTCTTCTCAAAAAGCAACTTTGGGCAGAGCCAAGATCCATGTCACTAGAGCTCATGGAATTTCTGTTTTCTTCCCCTCCCTGGCAACTGTAGAGGTGTTCTGGCTGTCAGCGAGTTGGGGCAACCGTTGGCTGCTGTCACCAGGGGTGCACCCAGATATTTCACTACACATGTGCCATTGACGCAGGTAAGCATCTCACAGGCGGGAGCAGTAAGTAAGTAACTGTGAATAATTCAGGAACTCTCAGCCCTTCAAGCAGGGGTGTCTTTAGGGTGTGTCCAACAAAATGGAGATGGCGTCAGCGCCATCAAACTCCCTCCTGTTTTTTTATGTGTGCTGGGTATGCGATGCACCTAAGCAGCAAATGAGTTTCGATCGTGCTAAGGCAGTTATCCCAAAAGTTCTTTTCCAAAAGGCAGCTGGACTTTCTTAGTTTTTTTCTTAAGAACCTTTCACTTCTCATCCAAGAAGCTTCCTCGGTTCTTCCTCAGTTTTTCAGCTCAGAACTGAAGAAGCTTCTTGGAGGTGAAGCAAAATGTTTTCAAGAAAAAAAACAACAAGAAAGTCCAGTTACCTTTTGGAAAAAAAAACACCTTTGGGACAACCATGACCTGGATGATTAAAAATTTCCGTAGACAGATAGGGCAGCTAGCAACTTGATTATTATTATTTTTTATACCAGCCCTACCTTCAAGGTAGACCAGGAGAGAAAAGAAACAGACACTACCTGGCTTCCAGAAATGCTATTTTCAGCATCTTGAACGGCTGCCAAATTTTGCCTTTGATCCCCCTTACGCCAAAGAGAATCAAGGTGCAATTATTCTGAGGTTCTTTCTCCTCCCTCCCTCCCTTCTCGGACTGAGCTGTTTATGTTCCCTTAACGGCTCCTGCAGACGTTTGTTCGTCAAGGTTATCTCTCCATTCCTCTACAGGAACTGAGAACACCACGTTTTGAAGCCAGTTATTTGAAATCCGGGAAGGGAGGGAGAGAGAGGGCAAAGAAGAAGGAAATTGGAAAAACAACCAATGGGGCCTCTTCCTTCCTTTTCTGGTGGCTGCTACCAAGAACATTCCTTTTGTTACACAAGCTTTTCCCGTCTTTCATTTTTTGCTTGCAATTATTGATTTGCACAACTGTGGTATCCCTGCAGCAGAGGGACCCAGCCTGGAGTCTCAGCGCTGCAGGAGACTTTGGAAAGGCAGCCGGGGAGTCCTCCAAAGGTGGCTGCTGTCAAACTGTCATTTCCAAGGCAGCCCAAAGGGGAAATTATTCAATAGATGATGTGTTGAAATGGTAGACGGCTCTCTCTCGCCTTCTGCTGAGACGAGCAAAGAGTTAACCGCCCATTTCCTCGTTAGGAAGGCAGCCAAGAGAATTGGGGGGGGGTAAAAGTGGGGGAGATAAAAGAGGAGAAATCTGGCCAAGATTCAGTTAGAAAGAGAAAGGAAAGGAAAAGGACATTTCCTGAATGTAGGAAAGAAAAAAGAAATAGCCAATTATCAGGGACACAGGACTCTGAGGTTTCCTTGGCGCTTTCGGAGTTTGTCTGCTTTCTTGCAGACATTTCGTGACTCATCTGGGTATTGTCATCAGTGCTAGATGTTCGTCCCTGCTCCCTCCTAGCACTGATGATGTTACCTATTTGGGTCGTGAAACGTCTGCAAGAAAACAGCCAAGCTCAGAGAGCACCCAGGACTCCTCATTTCAGCCCTGAGCCACAGATATTCTACAAATATTCTACTTTATGTGCGACACAGGACTTTGCCTTTTTTCTGCTCTCTTCTGCAGGTTGTTTGTTAGCTGAAGAGACCTTCTTGCTCAACTGCCCTAAACACAAGGTAGGTGCACCGATCCTCAGGAGCCAAGGAGAGGATCTGGACCCTCTGCTCTCCCGGCCCCTTTGCTCTTTCTTGAGCCAGGTCTCTGCCCTTCCATCTTGCCTGCAGTCAGAAGATCTGCAAGGAGGGTCCAACAAGTGATGCAGCTGATGTTTATTGATTTATTTATCACTTATTAAACAAATGTACATAGCCACCCACTTGGAGGCTGCTGAGACTCAGTCTTAGCCATGATCAAACCAAGCAAGAGGTTTTAGGGAGCACTCCAGGCCCCCCATGTTTCTCTGCTCACCCTCAATGGTGTGAGCCAGCTCCTGTTCCTTCCCAGATCCCCCATCCTCTCACTTCTGGTGTCCTGCGAAATGAGGATGGAAGAGAGGCAGGAGGCGGCATTCCTTCTGCCCTGCCCCCTTCTTTTTCTCCCTCCCCCCCCCCGTTAAAGACCCAGGAGACAGTCCTCGAAAAGCCTCGTCTGGTCTTGCTGAAGATTCGCTGGCCAGACCTTGGGATATAATTGAGTCAGCCCAGCGAGCATTTCCTGCTGGTCTCTTCCTGACCATCATCGCAACTGGTTGTGGGCAATTTAAAGCAGACACCGGCTGAGGAGCCGAGAGAGAGGGAGGGAGGGAGAGATAAAGATGGATCTGGGGGCAGATACATCAAAGTTTCAGAGAGAAAAATTTAAGAAAATTTTTTAAAGAAGTGATTGGACAATCATTTGTCTGAAATGGTCTAGGGTCTCCTGCTTGAGCAGTGGGTGGACTAGAAGACTTCCAAGGTCCCTTCCAACTTTGTTAGTCTGTTAATTGGAGACAGAGGAAGGGTCTTCAGCTGGCCAAAGAGGGCAGCAGCAGCAGCTACTGCCAGCCAGCTTCAGAAGGCCTCCTTGCCCCTCACCAAGCCGCCTGCTCGGTTTGATCGTGGCCAAGACTGAGCCTCAGAGGCCAGCAAGTCATTCCAAGCTCAGCTGGCAGGTTTCCCTCGCCTTCTCTATCTCTCTTCCCTCACCAAACATGTGGGAAAGCCTCTGGGCTGCAAAAATCTGGAGACCCCTGGAGAGCCACAGCAGGACAAAGAAATTACTTCTCCAGAAAGATTATTTTGTAGCATCCCCACAATCATGCACAAGGACTGAGTGTGGGTCCCTTTTTCCAAAGCCGTTACAACTTCGCTAAACGGATGGCTATAAGTTGAGGGCTGTCTGCGTAGGAGACAAGGGAGGATTTTTGTGGACGGGAAGGTTGATGAGACTCAGAGGAGCTCTCCTTCAAAATATCCCCCGTCTCGTGCTTCACTCTCACTGAGGGTTGTGCGCCAATCCACACGACATCCAGGTTCCTAAATCTGCATCTCAGATGTTTGGATCAGGCCATCTTGGTCTGTTGGAGAACCTGCCGCTCTGCTCCAGACGCCGCACTGCCTTGACCTGGTTTCCAAACTCCTCTGCAGGAAATCAGTTCAGACCCCAGGGAGATAGAACTGTCTTGTTCTTCTTGGGCTGCGGGGGAAGAGAGAAGTGGGGGGGGGGTTTCCCAGTCCTTCTCCCTTGACCTATTTATCAGGAAGACCTCATAGCTTTGCCTCCAAGGGCCTTTCACACCCCCACCCCCCAAGCTCTGGTTTTTAAGCCTATGCTTGAAAACATGCATCCCTTGTGTGTTTATTGAGGGGTGGCCAGACAATTCTCAGATGCAGCTTCCAGCTCCGGCAGGATGTCTTGTGTGTTCCAGGCTTTTCAGACATCAGACAACATCCCCTTCCTGGCCTGGGTGTCTCTTTTTATTTCTCTGCCCCAGAAAAGAGGAAAAGAAGAAATTCCTGCTCTGGTTTCCGTTTCTGTCTTGCACCTTAGCATCTCACAGGCTGCCAACCCAGGCAGCATGTGAGAAAGCAAACAATCCCAAGGGAGGAGAAGGGGGGGGCAAGGGGTAGCCCCCCCCCAGGGTCTCCTTTTGTCTAAGGCCCAAAGGGAGGAGGGGAGGGCCAGGAGATATCCTGGTGGTGGGAACCTCCCTTGGCTCTCCTGAATGGGTTTCCCTGTGAGCCAATCGGCCAGCCTAGAAACGGGTTTTTCTGCTGCCCTCTTGTGTCGCATCCACCGCCAGCCTTGATTTGTTTGGAAAAAAAGAAGCAGAAAAGAGAACAGACAGATGAAAGAAAAGAAAAAAAGAAAGAGAGAGGAAGAGAGAGAGAAAGAAAGAAAGAAAAAGAAAAAGCAGAGGAGGGAAGGAGGCCCTAAAGCAGCTTGTGAAAAGCGTGTTTGTGTTTTGACGCAGGGACAAGGGCCAGCCTTTTGTGAAATCATGGGGAGGAATTCACAGCCAACGTGAATTTATCCCGATAAAGAAAACGAGGGTCTTTTTCTAACAGCAACTCCCTCCCATGCCAGGGTGGGTCGAGCACAGATGCCCTCCATGGTCAGCTAGAGGTGGGTGGCTAAGTGTTGAAGAGGGGGCTGTTCACCTCCAGTTTCTTCTTGGGGGGGGGGGACTTAGCTATGTCCACAGAGCTCCAGAGGAACAGCCAAGGGAAAAACAGTCGAAATAAACTTTCGGGGTGCATCTTTTCATTCTTTTTCTTCTTTTTGTTCCCCTTTTCCTGCAGCTGCAGCTGCTATAATGGACCCACCGAGAAGGGAAGCGCCTGCTGCTGCTGGAGTCCCTGCCCAGCGAGGGGGGGGCTCTGCCTCGGCACGCCCCTTTGCAGTAGCTGCAACCAAGAGGAACTCTGGACGGAAGGGCCCAAGGAGGAGCCCAGTGCCCACCCTCCTGGGCCCTGTCCTCCCCCCTGCCCCTCCCCTTTGCAATAGTACTTCTACTGTGAATGGACCTGGCCTTGCCAGCCTCGCCTCCTCTTCGCTCAGGCCTTGGCAACTTCCTTGCAAGCTGACCCCAAAGGGCACAAGACCCCCGACGACCCTGCTGCCCAGCTCCTGGGAGCCTTCCTCTCCCACCCATCAGGAAGCAGACCGGGGCGGTGCAGCGTCTCCCTTCTTCCCCTCTGGACTTCTTCCATTCCAGATTGGTGCGGGAACCACCACGAAAATCCCATTTTTTTTTCCTGGTTACTCCATTCCTCTTTGGAGGGGTTTCCTGAACCGGTTCAGGAGAGAAGACAAACTCCAGTTTGGGTTTTGTAGTCCTCCTCTTCCCTTCACCCAGGAGCTGTACCCAAGACTAATCCAGCTGGCATCTACCTAGGCTTGGCCACTGACTCAACTTGTCCACCCAGCTCTTCTGGAAGAGAGTCTTGAGGACTTTGGAAGGGACATCGGATAGCCGGAGCTGACCGGCAGGCACGTGGTGGTCAGCCCATCCCAAGGACGTTTGCTCGAGTCTCTTTCTCTCTAGCAAAGAGAACAGACTTGCCTCCCCGATGGGTCGTCGCCAGGAGAAAAGCGTACAGAAGTCCTCGGCTCCCTTCTTTTTCTCTTGGCTCAAAACGGCTGGACTCCAGGAGGTCTCCAGGTCCACCTTCTCTTTTTTCTGATCTGATCAACTTTTTGCCTTCAGCAAACCTCATGGTGTGTGTGCGTGTGTGCGTGTGTATGTGCGTTTTCTGTATATAGATGTGATCCGCGTGTACAAAGAAGCACCCCAAACCTTTTGGGGACAAACAAGGCTGCATCACTTGAGTTCGTTTGCGCATTTTTGTTTGGCTTTCGTCCTTGTTTCCCTCCAGCTCCGAGCCCGGCCCTGAGAGGTCATTTGCCCTCTTTCTTCTCACCCCTCCATGCCTGACTCCCTCCCCACATTCAAACCAGGAAAGCCAGCAACTCCGTAGGTCAGCGTTTCTCAGTCTTGGGAACTTCAAGACAGGTGGGCTACAGACTTCCAGAATTCTTGGCTGGGGAATTCTGGGAATTGTAATTCACCAGTCTTGAAGTTCCCAAGCTTGAGAAACACTGGGGAATTCTGGGAGTTGAAGTCCACCTGTCTTGAAGTTCTCGAAGTTGAGAAATACTGAGGAATTCTGAGAGTAGAATGTTCCCATGTTGTGAAGTTCCCAAAGTTGAGAAACGCTGGGGAGTTCTGGGAGTTGAAGTCCCCGTGCTGAGAAATTCCAAGGTGGAGAAACACTGCCCTAGATGTTGAGGAGAGACAAAAAGCAAAAAGCTCTTTCATGGGACCTTGCCGATAGTAATAGTCTGTGATTTCGTCCCCCATCTTGATTTGGGGAGGGGCAGTGAAACAAAGTGCTTGATTCCCATCTGGCCGAATGGTGCGTGACGTTTCAGGGGAAAGAAACTGGGGTTTTGAGCTTAGCAGAACTTATTAAGATGCTCTGCTGTTCCATCCATCTTGATGGCCGCTGAAGCCAGTTCATCTGTTCTGACAGCAATTGTGCATTACAGGTACTCCTCGACGTAAAGCTGGTCACTTAGTGACCCTTCAAAGTTACAATGGATGTCCCCAGAGCTACTTACAACCTGATTTTGAAGTTCTGATGTCCATCCTTTCCTCAGTTACCTGATTGCATTTGGGGCACTTGGTAACTGGCCCACCTTTATGGCTGTAAGCAGTATCCCATGGTCACATGACCATGATTTACTATATTTCTGGAAACCAGCATTCCAGTTTGGGGCAAAAAATGCCTGTTGGGTACAATGGGCTTGCTTAACAACCGTGATGTCTCTTTAATCCTGGCTTCCTGATATCTAACATGCCTATGGCTATCAGGAACATTAGTAGGCTACAAATGTTCTTACCTTCATCTGCTCTCCTCACTGCCTCCATGGGTTGTAAGATCCCACCAAAGCTTTCGTACAATGGACCTCTCCTAGTATGATATGACTACAACTCCCAGAATCCCTAAATAACCTGGACAAACCACTCTAGACATCTCTTCCTGGATTTGGTTGAAGTTGTGGTGGCACAAAGAGGAAGGTCTCTCAGCTTCCATCTTGTCTCCTGTCACAGAGCATACGTCAAGCCACATTTTGTGGTTTACTGTGCAGTGTAAACCTGAAGGGAATGCCATTTGGAGGAGAGGAAACCAGGATTACAACTCTAATTTCAGTTACGGGGGCTGTCTCTTTGGGATTCCAACAACACCAGAAGCCATAATGTGCCCACGTCCATTGTTGACATTTGTGCAGTTTGAAGCAGGTTTTTTTTAGCTGGGGGCATTACGAAATCCTGCCAGAGTCCCAAGCAAAACAGAAACATAGCTTCTCTAGACGTAGCTTTTCCCATCTTGCTAGGAACTAGGTAGGACAGAGCCTATCTTTTTGGCTGACCCCACACACTGAAAACCAACAGGGGCAGTAGGAGAACTTCCACAAGACAACATGCACTTCTGGACTTCATAGGGCTTGTCACACTCCAACAATGCCCTTGGTTACTATGAGCCTTGGGGGGAGCATCCAGAATCCTCCAGGGTTTACCATCCAAGACCATCAAGATCCCCTCAAAGGTAGGGAACCTTATCTTGAAGAGTCCCTGAAATGAATTTGATTGGAAGATTGTAGACATTGGATGGAGAAATCAATCTTTGGCAGCCCCGAGCTGTATGTTGGGTCAGGGTGGAAAGGGACTTGCTCCTGGTGGTTTCTAGAAGACTTTGAAGGAGAAGGTCTAGATCGGACTGATGGTTAACCGGGGAAGGTAGCATGCAAATGACACCTGAGTTGCATAAACTGTATATATCTTGCCCAGCTTTCATGACAGTCTTGTACAAACCAGTAGGAGGGGGAGCGTCTCACTGCCACTCACACCTCTACAGCATTAAATCTGATGGGGCCCTCTCCCCATCCTTCCTCATCCGCTTGGTTTTCTGTTGTCGCTGTGAAAGAGCAACAATCCCACTGCCCTCTGCTTGTAAACCTTTCTGTACATGGTACTCTGTGCACGTCGTCCGCTGTCCTCTCCGCTACGCCATCCTCGCAGCATGCCCCTCAAGGTTTGCTGGCAGAGGAAGGCCCGTTTCAGAAGCACACCTTCAGACAGCAGGCGGAAGACACCCCCACCTCAGCCCCCCCATCCTCGTCCCCACAATTCCAGCTCTCTTTGAATGGAATCTTGTACATAATGACTGTAAAATGGCAAACCTGTGTGTATTATATATATTGCCTCATTCTATAGTGTATATATATGTATACATATACATATATATAATATATATGAAAGATGTAAATGTTAAAACTAGTGTTCTTATTTAGTATATTGCTTCACACTGAAGATTGTGTGTAACAAGCTGTTTCTAAAAGAAGTTTATTTTCCTTAAGAGTTAAAAAAAACAAAGAAAAAAATCAGGTCATTGCATTCAGAACATCAATAAAGATTCAGCAATTGTTTTGGACATTTGGCGAGTTCCCTAATCACCTATTTTTCAGCCATCTCCTTGGGGATGGGGTGGGGAGATGAGGTCAAAACAGAGGCAATAGATCACCATAATGTGTAGATTCCCAGAAGCTCCACGCAGTATTCCTCAACAATTCTTTGTCAATAGAAGTAGAGTCAAAACTCCCTCAACATCAAAATATGACGAGTATGTAGGCGAAACTAATGAACATTTCCAATAGGGTTGGGTTTGTGATTAGAATAGAATAGAATAGAAGCTGGAAGGGACCTTGGAGGTCTTCTAGTCCAGCCCCAGCTTAAGCAGGAGAACCTACACCATCTCAGACAGGTGATTGTCTAGTCTCTTCTCAAAGATCTTCAGTGATGAAGGACCCACGATTTCTGGAGGCAGGCTGTTCCACTGGTTGATTGTCCTCACTGTCAGGAAGTTTCTTCTTAAATCCGGGTTGCTTCTCTCCTTGATCAGTTTCCAACCATTGTTTCTCATCTTGCCCTCTGGTGCTCTGGTGAACTACCTGACTCCCTCTTCTTTGTGGCAGCCCCTCAGATACTGAAACACTGCTATCATGTCTCCCCTATTTCTTCTTTTCTTTAGACTAGCCAAATCCAAGTCCCGCAGCTCTTCTTCATATGTTTTAGCCTCCAGGCCTTTGATCATCTTCTCTGAATTTTTTCCAAACTCTCAACAACTTTTTTGTGATATGGTGACCAGAATTGGCTGCAGTATTCCAGGTGTGGCCTCACTAGGATTTTATAAAGCGGTACTAGTACTTTGTGTGATCTTGATTCTATGAGTTTTCACATCACCCTGAGGCACAAAATGTTTCACCCCTTTTCTCCTTGCTAAGGAGCGTATTGTATGAACCCTGTTAATATTTCTGGACGCTGTTTCTGCAGTGTAGTGTATTTGTCATCTGTGTGGATAAATGTAGATGTATTTTAGAAAACACCACAGAAGCTGATATGATTAGCAACCCATTTTCACCAGCATCTTGTGGCTTGAAGGATGCAACCATCATATTAGTCCATGTGTGACCCGTATAGTCAGTCTGAAGGCATTTTTATGAGTGTCATTGCTCAACAGAAAGGTCTACTTAACGTCTTGATGGACTTCTGTGAGGCCAACCCTACTGTTGAAATAGGGTGATGTGTTTTTCCAATAGGTCAGTTCAACATATTTGCTGGCCAATAACAAATCCTAGCTCTCTCAGGATGTTTTCACACTAATAAAATACAATTGCTATCTTCACAGAATATGCTACACTCAAATCATATGATTTAATGAGATGGCCTGCTTCACACAACACATTAAAACGATGAGCTCTGAAAACCTGCCACACTGCATGCTATCTGACCCATCTTTTCACCGAGTCTCATAGGATGTTGAAACCAATTCTTTGAAATATCCAAAAGAATTGTCCTTCCAGTCCAATTCAGATATGAGAGTTGCTTCATCCTTCTGGATCCCCAAAGGCTTGAGTCCTCCTGGACTGAATCAGACCCAAATGTCATGGTTCTGAGGAAGATGCCTCCAGAAAGCTTTCAACTGGGGTGGGAAGAGAGGGGCTACCTCCTTCCCACACCTTCACTGCCCCACGTGTGCATAGCTATGACTCAGAACACAGAGGAACTCTTCATTGGTACATTTTAGAGCAGATAAAAGAAGAACTTGGCCAATTCAAGCGGGCTGGGACAACTGGGAAACCAGAAATCTGATGAGCCAAACCAGGAATCCCCCATGGATCTCACAGTCCTTGAAGACCTCACCAACCACCATGTCCAAGAGAGGGACAACTTTTGCACAGCTGGTGAGAATTCATCAACCTAGAGATTAGCCAAGCCCATTCCCACCATCCTTTGCCCGTTTTTTCCTGCTCCAGTTAATGTCCAGACAAGGAGATATAAATAAGTAGCTGTTTTATTTTATCATCTGTACAAAAACCCTCCCCTGATACTATGAAAATAACTTTTAAAAGGAAGAATCATGGTTGAGCAGCGGTGCAGGCTTGCAAGGGAGGAGACCGAGGCAGGTGCATCACCTCCCACCAGTTATGGGCAGCATTGGGAGCCCTCCAGCTTCTTCACGAACCCCGACCCTCTGGGTGGTTTCCTACCCACCACTATGGTGGGTCCCCCAAACCACAGTCTGGGGTGGAAGGGGAAAAAAAGCTAGATTGGAATAAGAAAAGCTGCTGCTCTCAACAGCTCGAAGGGTGGAACAACAGAGACATATCTCAGATCAAACTGTCTCCCTTCTGTTTTCCTTCTAGAAACATTTTTTTTTAAATCCTATTAAGCCTTTTCATGACATCCTTTGCCATTTTTTTCTTAAACACCCCAAGTTGACTTCTTCTCCACATGAGTCCATCTTAAGAGAAAGGAAACTATTGTCCTCCTTTCATCCAACTGCTTTCCAACAGCAACAGTTGATATGTGAAGAGATGAGAGTTTTACTTAACCTCAAGGGTTGTAGGTCCACCATGACTAAAGGTCATCCAAGGCCACCACACAAGACCACTAGAAGCTACAAGTGAATTAACTCTCATGCCTTCAAGGGTGGGGAGTAATGCTATTCATAAGCCTCAGCCTCCTTCTCCAAGACTCCAGTTCTGCCAAGGGAGCCTGGCACACTCTTACAGCCCCCTAAGAGCCCCCATCCTCTTCTGTGGGTCATCCTTCTCGCCAGTTCTACCAGTTACCCAGGGAATAGCAATGGGGTGATCTGAAGGACAAGTCATTTCAAGGAACCGGCGCCCCCTCCTACAGTAAGACATCGAAACCAGCCAATCACCAACCGATTAAACTCCAAGCAATTCACAACTGGTCAGATGGAACCCCCCCCCCGCCAGGCTGGGCTCTGCCAATAAGCTTCAGAAGAGATGGATAACAAATCGCCAGCAAAGAGGGGGAAGTAGTCAAACAGCAGCAGTGGGAGTAGCTGGGGAGGAATGGAGTTGGCCGCGAAAGAGGTAAGGGCAAAGTCTTCATCTGCTGGATAGCTGATGTGAGAAATTGAGGCCTGGCTGGCCTCTGAAAGATGGAGAGAAGCCACTTTGCCTACCAAATGCACCCTGATTGTGGGGAGTCTAAAATCCAAGAGACTCACGGGAGTTGTGTACACACCCTTCCCTGGCAAAAGCGAGAAGTCAGCCAGATCCGGCCAGTTGTGCCAGAACCGTTTGTCCCTTCTCGTATATGTTGGGTCCGTTCAGACGCACAAGAAGAAAAGCACTAGCTGAGCATCCTTGAGGAAGCAGAGCTGCCTCAGCAGGGAGGGTGGAAGAGAATCACCACTGCCAGGCTCTGCCAGGTCCCCCCCTGCCACTTTCACCAGCACTGCCACAAGCCACACTGGTGGGGCCACTCCGGGCTGCCACCCTCCTTCCTAGGAACCTTCCAAATCTCTAGCTGGAGGTGACAGTGGAGCCACTGCTGAGCCGGACAATCATCTGCTGGCACTCGTGGAAGGTCCATTTGTCGCCCAGCTTCTCCAGGGAGCGGGCAGCCTCTGCCAGCATGCCCCCCCTTTGGCCTGGTGCTAAAAGCAACGCAGGAGGGAGGTAGGAGCAGGCCAGCTGCAAGGCTTCTGCTTGTTCCCGGGCAGTGGGGTGGCTCTCTTGTTCACCAGCTGGCAGGGAAGAAAGAGAGGAGATCACGGGAAGCAGGTGGACACCAGTGTGTAATTTTGGATCGCCTCGGTGCATCTGCGGCACCCATAAGTGCGTATTGGTGCAATGGCTTGAAGAGCCAGCCGCATTTTCAAAAGCCCACCCCCATCGGAAGACCTGCCCAAGCTTGCAGAGGCTCACCTCCTTTGGCAGTAGAAGGTCCTCTCCTGCGGAGACTTCGGTCAAGCAATTGGTGGGTCCGAGTGGGGCTGGCTCGGGTCATCAGTCGGGCAGTTGCCTCATGGAGGAAGACCTGGAGGAAGAGGGAGAAAAATTAACTCTCATGGTGGCATTTCCACCTCTCCCAGAAATCTTTTCCCCCTCACACCCTTAGGACAGTCCTGGCCTCAGAAGCCAACTCAACCCAAGTGTTGAACCTGGGCCACAATTTGGGAGTGAAGAAGGCCATCAATGGAGCAACCTTCAGGTGGGCCTTTCTGTGTGGCTTTGCCCTCCCTCCTGCTGCCAACCCAGAAATCTGACCCATATTTTATCACATGAGCACCAGAAAGCTTCTACCACCTTCCCCATCCTCCCGGGGGCACTTTTCGGTGGTCCAGAGGTCAAGTTCTCTCTCCCTAGTGTAAGGGAAGGACACCCCATGCCGCCATTCACCCTGTGCATTGCAGGCTGGTCCGCTTGCGCCAAGCGGCGGAGAGTGCTGAGATCCTGCTGAAAGCCACGCAGCTCGAGGGCAGACGCCTGGTAGCGGGCTCTGTGGGGCGGGCCCCCCTGCATCTGCTGTTGCCAGAACCTGGTGCGAGTGATCAGGAGCAGGTCACACAAAAGGAACTGCACTGCCTGAAAGGGGAGAGAGACACAAAGGAGAGTTGTAGCTGGAGGGTGGAAGAGTATGAAGACGTGGTTCCCCCAAACCATGTGGGCTAGGGGAAAAGGCCTGTCTCTGCACCACCTCTTCGGAAGGAGAGAAGTCCCACTTCTGCCCTCTTTTAGCAGGCCCCTCCGCTGCACGGGTGCTGCCCCAGGGCTGCACTGAAGGGGCATTGCACATCTTCACCTGCACATGCAATGCAACTACAATGCACCACCGACACAGCCACAGTGTTTTCCATACCACCATCTCCTGACTGATACGGGGCTCTCCACTCTGCATTTCCCTTCCCACCTTTTATCCCACCCTTCCTACAGCCCTTTGCTCCCCTGATTCCAAGCTCCAGCCTCAGAAAGCAAGGAATGTGTAGGAGAGGCAGGAACCTGCATTTCTCAGGCTCGACAGAACGGTTGGGTCAACCCAGGTCTGGCACTTCCACCGAGAGGATTGCCCAGGATCCGTTGACTTGGCACAGAGGGAAGCAAGAAACAGGGTTTAAGCCCCAAGCACAGATCTCCGTTGAGGCACTGATGGCTAAATATTGTGGTCAGCAAATCTTCTGTAGATCTGTGCTTCTTTCTGATTTGAAGGAAAGAGAAGACTTAGCCCTGAGTTGTGTCTGAATGTTGATAGCAGGCAGGCCCAGTCCTAAGTGAGAGGTTTGGGGTCTGGAGAGCTGAGATTTGCAGCCACCTGAGAAACCTAACCACCATTCACCGGGAACTCTTGGCAAAGATGAGCCAGAGGTTGGTGAATAGCTGGAACAGGACCATCTGCCACTTTCTGTGAAGGTGGACCCAGAGGGTGATTATGGATCAGCCCAGAAGTCACCCTGTTTGCGTTGACCATGTTGAACTCCATCCCTGGTTTTGTCCAACAGCCTCATTCGGAGTTCCTCCCTCCAGTTCTGCAATTCCAAGAGACCCTCCAGAACTTGAGAGCCCACCCATTCCACCGACACCAGGATACCCCATGTGCAACATACTCTGTCAATAGCGCTTGGAGTCGCGTTTCCTGCCAAGCTGTCCCGCAAATATTCGCCAGCTTTGTCGCACTGTCCCAGGCTGCTGTCCTCTTTGCCCAGCATCCGGGCTGCCTTGAAGGTGTGCAGGGCTGCACGGGGAAGAGGGTTCCTGCAGCAGGGAGCATACCATTTTCAAACTCACCCAGGTGTGAAAACATCCATCTTGGGAGCCAGGCCACAATGGCCTGGAAACCCCCAAAGGTGCAGGGGGCATTTCTGACATCCAGGTTTCAAGCTCTTAAGATGGTGCTGGTTTCTAAAATGTGCTACTTTGCAGAAACCAAAAGAACGGAGGTCAAATGCTATGCTCCCCTTTTGGTCACCCCACAAAGAATAATTCTGCAAAGTCTGAGAAATTAAGCAAGGTCACGTGGATCCACTGGATTGCGGGAAGAAATGTTCGGCTTTCTTCTATTAATACATAGCACAGCGGTCCCAGCTGTCCGTTCCTTCCCCACTTCAGCTTTCCTGGGGAACTTGCCCCTGGGGGTGCGTCAACAGTTTGCACCTATGTAGTGCACTTACTCAGACCCCTGGAGAGCTCGGGGCATGAATTCCACCAGAGGGTAGAGGCGTTCCATGGCCTCCTCGTCCGCTTGCAGTCCATGGATTGCCATGGCAACCACAGATGCCCACCAGTGAGAAACAGGATCAGTACCTAGAGATGGGAGAGGGGAACCCAGTCACCCACAGCTGCAAATCCCTTCACACTCGTGATGCCCGGGTCTATCTTGGCAATTCTTCCTCTTGCCAATTCCATTTCTTTTAGCTTCTCCACCTCTGCATTGCTTTCCAAACCCCCTCTTCCAGCCAGAGAAGTCTCGGGTTTGGGAAGGCTCACCTGTGGCTGAGTCCATGTTGGTACTGATGGAGGGCATTGGGTTGGGGACAGCATCTGCACAGCTGTTGAGGAAATGCAGGTACTCCAGAGCATCTGAAAATTCCCTTTAGCGAGATGAGAGAAAAGTCGAGTGAGTTCAGCTACCAGCTCAGAAATGCGAAGTCATTTGAACCTTCTGAGGACCAGGAGGAAAGAGTTTTTTGCTGCCAATAATAATCCTCTGGATGTTCCTGCTCAGGTCAACCACGCTGGAAATTACTCTTGGGTAATTGCCATGAGTCTCTTTCCTTTAGGTCAGCATCAGCTTCTTCAAAAATCACCATAAGGTTGGGTGAGATATGGAAAGAGTTGGAGGAACGAATGAGGTAGGCTACACAGTCATTGCTCTTCCAGCCCATTGAGCTGAATTAATGGCACACACCATTACAGATACCAGCTCAACCTCGAAATCTCTCTCCATCGTAGCTGGCTTGGGGGAAGCACCTAAGAGGGAAGGACAGGAGGGCCAACCTTCTCTAGAGAAGGCTTCTTCAACTGGAGCCCAAGGATTGGGAGAAGTATGGTCCTTACCCTTCACTGTGACTGGCAGGGGCTGGGTTGTCCAGCCTGGAGACGCAAGAAAGAGCTTTCTCAAGCAGATGTTCTCGGAAGAGTTGTGTCACCTGAGCCAGGGGATTTGCTGGTGAGAGAAAGAGACCTGTCAGACAGCTCAACTCAGGCATCTGAATCTCTCCCGATACAATCAGCAACTCAGGAGCCCCTTTAGCACAATGCAACAACCCAATTTGTGCCAACAATTCACGCCTTTCCAGTGATTACAGGGGCAATAGATGGACCCTTCAGGGACCACAAGAGACAGACTGAAGGCTCAGATCTATGTGGTCAAAGTTAACATTCTCCTATTGGCCCTTAATTAATCAACCAGTCAATCAATCAATCAATCAATCAATCAATGAGTTTGCCCAACAGGGGTCTTAGTTGAGGGTTAGCTCCACACCAAACAAGCCAAGAATAAAACTAGCTCTCCTTAGGCTGGGTGAAAGATCTGGATTCTGGAATTCGCAGAATATGCTAAGCCCCATCCCACACTTAAGCATCTTGGCAAACAGGACCACTAGCTCAGAGGCTCCTCATATCCAGCAACTGAAGAGAGAGGCACCGTAAGAATAGACAAACGACTCTCCAACTCAGCTTTGTAGAGTCCTTGCTATCAGTTACTGTGACTACATTTCTAGACTATTCTTCAAGAATTATCCAGTGCAGGCATTCCATATACTGATAAAAAATAAAATTTCCCTTTCACAAAAGCACAGAACCATTAAAAACACTAGGCAGCCTATTGAAAGCAGATGCCCGCCTCTTTTGGGCTCCTGTCAAGTCTGCAGGGCCAGGTCAGCTGCTCAATCTCCCTGCTCCTTGTATCCACTCTACCTGGGTGGCTGGTGGAGCTGTAGATACTTTCCCGTGGAGAGCTTTTAACCGCCCAGTCACCATCCACGAAGAACCGGTGTCCCACGGGGTGGCAGAGCCACTGAAGCGCAGGAGGGACGGTGCCATTGTGCGATAGCAGCACTTGTCGGGCACTGCTGAGGAAGAACCGCTGTGGTGGGCAAGAAGGCAGGATTAGTCTGTGGCACGGAGAGTTAACCTGGGCAGTGGCTATTTGCAAGCCTTCCTTATGGCAAGGAAGGGGGTTATAAGAGGTGGGAGGAACGGGGTGGAATTTCAGGGGCTCATGCAACAGGTAATCCTCAATTTACAACTTACAACCCTTCATTTAGTGACATTACAATGATGTTGAAAAAGGTCCTCACGCTAATGAGTGTTAGCTGGCTGGGGAATTGGGGGATTTGAAGTCTACACCTCTTACAGTTGTCAAGGTTGGACACCTCTGCCCTATGTCATTCTGGATAAATGGCTGCCCAATCTCTTCTTCAAAACCTCCAGTGATGGAGCACCCACAATTTCTGGCATTGCACACACAGAGACTCACTAACCGCTAGGAAGTGGCAACAGTGATGGAGGCTGGTCTTCACACGCAGGGCAGCAGCCACGTAGACTTCGGCCAGCGTGGCCACCGAGATGGCATCCCCAGCACACTCGGCCAGGTTGACCGCGCTCAGTGCCATGTTGATGGCAGACAGGTGGCCTGCAACATGCTTTCCTGGGGGAAGAAGAAGAAGAGCCCTCAAATGGCACCAAGGTGTTGCTGATCGTGTCTGCCCAGTGGGGAAAGCGAGGGGTCTTCAGAAGTCTTACCTGTCATGTGAAGTTGATGCAGCCGGTGGTAGACCAGGGCCGCATCGCAGGCGCTCTTGCGCACGTCGGCCTTCAGCTCCTGATCTCGGAAGAAGCCCCCGGCTCGGCCAGCCAGCCAACGTCCTACCCAGAGACGCTGGAGGATGTGCCGGATCAGGTTCCACAAGAGGCTGCAGGTGAGGTCCAGGTTGGATGTTGGGAGGGGGCGTCTGAGTGCTTTGAGGGCTGTCCACAAGTTCTGGGATGCTTGTGCAAAATCCCCCTAAAGCAAGAGAGGAGACTTCATAAAGGAATGCAGACGAGGAGTTAGACTCAATGCAAACCCTCCAAGGATGAGGATTGGGGGAAGGCATCTTTCCACCCAGGCTTTGATGGCTCTGTCCAGTCATTTCTCTTCCATTCTCTTGGACTATAAATTCCATCCTTTTAACCATTCTAGCTGTTAGAAGACGACTTGGAGGCCACTGTAGCCGCCTACTACTGCCTTCCATTCTCTTGGACTACAACTCCCATCCTTTTAACCATTATAGCTGACAGAAGACAGGACTTGGAATTTTATAATTGGGTGCAATTCCCAACTGCCTTTCGTAGTGATGGAAATTCTGGTCCCAGGTGTGATTATAAACTCAGGAATGCCTGTAGTGGGAGGATACTCCACACTTAGTTAAGGATGGTGTTAAGTGATGGCAGCTATCTCAAGACCGTCCTCAACCTGTGAAGATCAACCTCCCGTGTTGCTTTATTTCCACTGGCTTCCTGTTCATTTCTTGTCTTGATTCAAAGCGTTGAGTTGGCATTAGGAACTCTGCCGGGTTTTGAACCCAATGCTGTATTTCCTTCCCTGAGGAAGGAAAAAGCCCTTTCCTGGAGTTACGTACCCGAGCCAAGTCAAGGTCCGCCTGCTTGCGGTGTCTCCAGAAGATGACTGAAGACTCCGAGTGGGGTCGTGTGATGGGCTCGCCGTAAATGAAAAGCCGGACGAAGGCACCACAAATGATCAGCAGGTTAATCATCCAGAAGAACAAAGTGGGGAGAAGCCACTGGAACTGGGGAACAGGAGCATCTGGACACAAAAGCCCAAATCAAGGGAGTGAGTGGGCATCTCTCAGACCCCGAGAAGCGCAGGTGTGCCCCGGCCCCTCCAACGCGGAGAGGGTTTGGAAAAGCAATGAAAATCCATCGGCATTTTTCTACACGCTGCTCCTAATACTTTACATATTGCAGACAATTTCCTTTGGTATACAGGTAGATAAGACCCCCCCCCCCACACACACACCTCTTCCCCGTGTGCCTCTTGCTCTTTTCCTTTTCACATTTGCACATTTTTAAATCAATGGTAGTTTAAAAATAATTTTTATTGTTCCTTTTATTGGTTGTGAGCAGCCTAGAGTTGTCTTTAGGCAAGATGGGTGGCATATAAGTGGCATTTATTTATTATAATTCGATAGATTAAATAGAGATAGATAGATAGACAGACAGACAGACAGATGATGGATGGACAGACAAGAGTTTCTCAACCTTAGTAACTTTAAGAGGACTTCAACTCCCAGAATTCTAGGAGTTGAATCCTACTCATCGTAAAGTTATCATGGTTGAGAAACACTGAGATTGATAGATGATAGATGGTGAGATAGATAGATGAAGAGATAGAGAGAGAGAGAGAGAGTCAGACACAAAAACGAAGCCTTCCCAGTGGCCCCTGTCTTGCAGCCTCAGCCCAGGGGGTGTCTTTCACTCACTTTCTGAGTCGTCCATGGCCAGGATGCTGCGCTTGGAGCCATCATGGTTGAAAGCCTCTGAAGAACCTCCGAGGCCGACTCCTCCGAGCAGGGAAGAAAGCGGATTGAAGGAGAGACAGAGGAAGACAAAGGTGCAGAGAGCCATGCGGGACCTGTCCAGCATTCCCAGGCTGCCCGGTGGAGGGGCTGGATATTCGGGCTTCACCTACAAAGAACAGCCACTGGGTAAGTTTCTGAAAAGAGAGGGCGGGTCCAACAACCACTCCATGACAAATCCTGCCCAAAATCTGGCCAGCCTTGGGTTGTTTAGAGGAAAAAGACAAAACAACCCCTTGAATTTCTTTAGGGGTTGTTGATCCTTCAGATCAGCAGAGGTTTCTCCTGGTCTTCGGGCCCACCCAATGGCCCAGGTTCTCCTGGAGCCTTTGCTCCCATTCTCACCTTGGCCTCCTCGCACGAAGGGCTGTCTGGCTCCGAGTCGGTTCCACTGATGCCGCCGAAGGAGAGCGGGCTGCTATGCGAAGGGGAACCGGCATCTGAGGATGGAGGCGTCAAAGCATCCATCATCTTCATTCCTTCTGCCGGATCCTCCACGTTTCCACCAGACGTGGCCACCAGGTCTTTCAGGGATTCTGCAGAAGGAGAGAGCAGAGCAAGGGTAGAACCGAGATGGGCTTTTCACATGATGGAATATCCAGACTCTCTGATCGATTAGGTTTTCTTGAGGAAGGCCAAAGAGGTTGAATTCCTACAAGGCCAGCAACCATCCACTAAAACCGCAAGAGGGTTCAGCCAATGGTTATTCCAAAAATCAAAGAAAATATATTCAGTCTCAGCAGAAATCAGATCAAAGTCTGTCCTCACTGCCGCTAGCAGGGAGTTGACAGGAAAAAGTGTCTGAGAGAAGAGGAATTTAGGCAAAAAAACACCAGTTTTTCCCAACAGGATCCAGCTGTTTCTGCTGATCACTAGGCAATGTTGACATTGACTTCTTGGTAGGTGGCGAAAATCCACCCCAAGTTAAAAAAAAGATCTCTGCTTTCCACCAGGGGGACTTTTCTCCAAGGGGGACTTTGAGGCCAGGCAACTTGTAGATTAATCTGCCAGCCTGGTCTTGACACCCCTCCCTGCTGATCTCCTTGGTCTCAAACCCACAAGAAGAAAAGGGCCCCTGGTTTGTGTGTGTTTGTGTGGGAGGGTGTATATGCATGAAACTCACTGTTGTTCTGTGCTGCCATTTTGAGGGTCATGTTCTCCCCCTTCAGCTTCTGGTTGGTCTGCTTCAGATAGCGGATGTAGTCAATGGCTTTGCGCAAGATGGCTGACTTGTTCAGCTGCCAATGGAGACAAAGAGAGAGGCTGGGTTTATGGGAGTCCAGCCAAAGGCAAGATCAAAAGCACCTTCTCTCTACGTGACATGAATTTGCCTAAAATGGGCAAAGCTGCTTGGGATATCCCTGGCCCAGTCTCATATCTAGCTGAGTTCCATCAACTCAAGTCACCATCAAGATTCCAAGGAGAAAAAATCATGTGCTTTCTGCTGTTCCTACATTAACAATGAAAAGCAAACCAAAATAAGAAACCAACAGAGGGGCCCAGACATGATCAAGGTCAAACCAGGTTTCCTAAACCAGAAACACCCAAGCACTCATCATGACTTTCCTCCCATAGCAAAGAAAGAGACATCTAACTTTCCACAAGTGAAAACTCCCTGACGGTTAAGACAGGAGAGAGTTTCCCAAGCAAGGACTCCATGCTCTACAGCCCCAGGACATCCACCACCCCACAGAAACAGGTGTAGCTACCTTGGCTTCTGTCCCCACGACCAGGGCCTTCAGCTCAGCTATCTTGTCATTGATGGAGGAACGATAGCGTTTCTCAATAGCATTGTGAGCGGTGCGCTTCTCGCCCTTGTTCTGGCTGATGAAAGGCTTCCCAGCGGTCAGGCGGTTGATGGGCAGCTTGTCGGTGTCCACCATCAGTGGCACTGTCGCCAGGATGGTGCCCCCACTCACCAGGGTCTGCAAGGAAGAGGAAGAGAGGAGCTGCAGAGAACTTGAAGGCTTCACCATGAACATTGGCTGTCCTGGGGCAGGAGAAGTCAAGCTGAGCATGATGTGGTCTCAGCTGGCTGAGGAGAGAGCTAAGAACATTTCAGGAGGACTCTGCTAACACATATTATTAGTACAACGTATGTGTAACTCATTTCATTCATTGGCTTTCATGAACTACAGCTTATCCTGGGGGAAGTGAAGGAAAAGTTAATGTGGGAGCAGCAGACAGAATTCTGTTTTTCTCCATCACACTTCAGCACATTCTCAATATCACCACCTTCTATTGGTGGCACAGTGGACAGAATGCAGTACTGCAGACTAATTGTGCCAACTGCCAGCAGTTTGATCCTCACCAGCTCAATGTTGACTCAGGCTTCCATCCTTTCAAGGTGGGTAAAATGAGGATCCAGATTGTTGGGGGCAAAAAGGCTGACTCTGCAACCACTTCGAGAGGGCTGTAAAGCCCTGTGAAGCAGTATTCAAGTTTAAGTGCTATTGCTATTTTAGGACCCCAAAATAAGCTGCTATAAAGGAATCAGGTGAAGCTTTTGGCAGATGTCTCAGATGTGCAAACGGGAGAGAATTCTCAATCCAAAATTTGAGAATTAAAAAACAAGAAGAAATGGATCAAAAGAGGCAGAGGAACCAAGACTCAGAGAAATAGGACCTTACTGGCATCTGCAAGGATGTTGAGGAGACCACTGAACTGGTGTTCGGAGTTTTGGCTCCAGAGACTGTGGTCAGAAGGAGTGAGTCGGCCTTGATGAAGTGGGGCTGCAGAAGGACCTGTGGGAAGAAGACATGGTTAGGACCAAGCATGAATGTGCACCAGGGAAGAGGGTGGTCCCATCTCCTAAGTCCTACTCACCGGCACTTGCTGGACCACCTGGGGGCTACTGGCAGCCAGAAGCTGTTGGGGGGCGATGTTCTGGAATGACGTTGGCTTTGGTAAAGGCTGTGTCTGCTGGGGTTTGGGGGACACCAGCGGAGGTTGCTGGGGTGTCCCTGCTGGCTGGGGAGCTAGGAAAGAAACCCCAAAAGATTGGAAATGCCTTCTACAGCAGCGGGGCAGACCCCTGGGCCAAACCCACCCACCCACAGAAGCCAGGCACACACAGGTAGAGCTAATCTTGGATGTGCCCTCAAGAGCCCTGCTGGATCACAGCAAGCAAATGAGATGATGGGAGGTATGGTCCAACAGCTCTGGAGGGTTCTCCAGACATTAAGGCAAAGCCCTCAGGGCCTATCTTTCCAGTCCTTCGAGACCTTGGAAGCCCCAGCCGTGAGCCTACAGTCTTTCCTTAAAAATGGATAACCTATCATGGTCTGAAAACTTTGAGCATGATGGTGTGATTTTTCAGACCCACTCCAGAAACTCATTCTTCTTTGGGGGGGGGCAACTTTTTCAGCCAGACCTTTTGGTCATGTCTTTAGGAACCACTGTGCTGTCAAGTTAATAGACAGTGGAAAGTTTCACTCTATTTGCTCAAGGGAGCTTTGATGAAAGACAATGACTTTATATTCCAGTATTTGAGGAGCTGTCACAAAGAAGAGGTGGTCAACTTATTTTCCAAAGCTCCAAAAGGCAGGACAAGAAACAATGGATGGGAACTAATCAAGGAGAGAAGCAACCTGGAATTAAGGAGAAACTTTCCAACAGTTAGAACAATTAACCCAGTGGAACGGCTTGCCTCCAGAAGTTGTGGGTGAGCCATCACTGGAGGTTTTTATGAAGAGACTGGACAGTCACTTGTCTGAAATGGTATAGAGTCTCCTGCTTGAGCAAGGGCTGGACTAGAAGACCTCTAAGGTCCTTTCCTATTCTGATTGACTTCATGGAGGTCCGTTGGGAGGCCCAGACAAGGCTCACAATAGCAAATTAAGCTCTCTTCCCATCCTTACCAGAAATACTATTTTGGTTCTGGAAATCCATCAAGGGCTGGGTGGAGAAAGGCATCTGGGCAGCTGGAACAATATTTGGAGACGGTATCTTGCCAGTGGGCAGCTGGCTTTGAGTTGGGCTGAGCGTTGAGGCCAAGGATTCCTTTTTGACATCCATCGGAGATGGTGGCATGTTCTGGCAAGTGGTGGGCAGTGTCTGGAAGCTGGGTGGAGATGTGGGTGGAAGATGGAACAAGCTTGTGGAAGAGGGGGCCTTTGCCCCCAAATAGTTGCTGAAGAGGCTGAGTCCATGGGGGTTCAGATCAGGAGGAAGCTGAGAGCTGAAAGATGTGTCCATCAGACCAGAGAAGTCATTGTCTTCGGTAGAGATCAACTGGAGCATATCTAGAGAGCCCAGGGGAGAATGAGAATCGTGATTCTGACTTGGAGGATCACTGCTGAGGACTATTTCAAAGGAATGATGCAACTGACTTGGGAAGGCTTACAGGATTTAGGGTGGGGGTCTCCAAACTGGGCAACTTTAAGACTTGTGGACTTCAACTTCCGGAATTCCAGCCATTATGGCTGGCTGAGGAATTTTGGAAGTTGAAGCCCACAAGTCTTAAAGTTGCCCAGATTGGAGACCCCTGATTTAGAGGACAGAGAAGGGAGGATACATAGAGGACAAAAGGGTGAAACAGCACCACTGCCTGATATTATGAATGTATTTGAGCCAGGATTCATGAAATTCCCACCCTCTAACCCTGACTGAATTCCTAGAAACTGCATGGGGACTGCAACTCTCTGCAGGAGATGGGCAATTAAGAAAAATGAAATAATAAATAAGTAAACTGGTACCCAGAACTAGTGTAAAAATGACTTCATTCATCAACTGGAAGGAAAACAGAAAAGGGCTCAACTCTGACCATGCAGAGAACACATTCACACAACTCTGGCATTCAGGAGTGGGGAGAATCTGGGTCAGAGGAATTATCACAGGTCCTTCTAGGCTGTGGCTTCTCCAAGGCAGGATTGTCATCCACATCCTTATTTTCAGCCAGGGAGGTGACAGTGGGTGAGAACTGGGTTGTGGGGATGGTTGACCCACTTACTCTCTATGAATGTTCAAGTAAACCATCTGGAACCCTCTTGGTGCTACCAAGTCTGGGTTCCAATTCCAGGATCCAATGTCACCAGCTTCTGGTTATTGCCATCTCTTGAGAATCACAACTCAACATGCTCTGCTTTGGGTAAACAGATTTCCTATTTTGGCCGCCTCCCATCAGCTGACCTTAAATTAAGTGAATCCAGCTGTTCTTGTCTTGTTTTCTGGCCCAGGAAAGGGGGGGCAGGCTTCCCTGCATGTTTTAGTCTTTCTAAATGGAGCATTCAGCTTCCTTCTAAATTCTTGGCGCTTGAAACATCTGCTGGGTCTGACCGAGAAACCTTTGCCCCGTTATTCGTAAAAGCTGGCTAAAATAAAATATTGTGTCTTCTTTCCAGCAAACAAACAAACAACAAAGCCGATGAATTACCATTTCAAATAATGGCGGTTGGGAATCTTGCAGGCAGAAAAATGGGTTGGTCTCGGCTAGGGGCTCCAGGCACAAAGGTCACCCCTACCGCAGCTCTAGAGGGGCCCATTGCACCCCAATTCCTCCACCCTGCAGGACTGTTCCAAGCCCCTGCCAGAAAGGTCCAGTTGGGGGGTCTTTTCCCCCACCCGCCAACACCTGCTGATCCATCAGCGTTGCAGGTGCACATCTGGAGAGCCCAAAAAAAGGGACTCAACTTGCAACAAGAAAAGGGGAAAAAAAGTTCCGTTCCAAGAAAGCAAAACAGGCGCCTTCCAGAGAGACCCGCCTTTGGTCCTGGAGAAAAGTGGGGCTTGAAAACCCTGGTTGCACCCTTGTTGGGAAACTTGGGATCTGAGTTTGTTTGGCTGTTTTTTTCCCTTCCTCTCCGGGCCCTCCTCCCCCCTCCCCCCCAGCCTGTTGGAAAGAGGGTTGCATGGTGAATCACAGATTTAGCATGAGGTGATCAGGCTGGGCCAATCAGGGCCGGAGCAAGGAGCTGCTGCAATGCTGGAGCGTGTGGCACCCGGGTTACTGCCGTGCATTCAGCATTAACCCTTTCCCTGCCTCTGGCGGCAGAGGGGTTACTCCAGGTCATTGCACAGTTAACCCGTTTGGGGCTGGAGCGTTGCAGGGGAGCTTTACCTCACTGCTTTGAGGGTTCACGTTTCTGGGTTTGAAACGTGCTTTGCCAGATGGGGACCCTTAGCTGGGAGAGGTGGCATCCCAGGTAAAGTGTCCCATTAAAGGTTCCACGAGGAAGTGAAGGTTCTGTAAAAGTCTCCTATCAATCTGGCATGGGATGGGGGAAGGTGGGAAAAAAACACAACGTTCCTTGTGTTTTTAACAACACCAGCAGCAGGCAGAAACTGATCTCCACCTGCTCTGTGGTTTCCCTCCAGTCCTGTTTGACTCTGGTTTCCATATTCTTCAGTCAGCCTGATCAACGGCTGGGGATTATGGGGATGAAAGTCTTGCACGGTGGGCAAGCGGAGGTTTGGAATGGATGCTTTCAGGAAAGCTCTTTCTAAAAGTTTCCGAAAGGGATCAGCTTCTGAGTTTGCTCTGCTTTCAGAGAAGGTGAATTCAAAGCTTTCCAGGGTTGGTGGTAAACGTGGTCTCTGGGGATCAAGCTGCCGTCAGGTGTGGGGTACGGGCAGTGAAAAAGCTGGCAACAAACCAATTGCCAACAATGATTGCATGGCTTGGAGCATGAGATAGTTTAAAGCAGGTTAGACTGTTGCCTGCCAGCTCAACACCATCCTCTTGCATCCTGAAAACCTCCTGGAAGATTCTGACCTCATCTTACCAAAACCTCAGAGGAATCTGGTTACCTTTTTTCTGACTAACCGATGGTCTTCAAAGGCACAAATGTTCATAAGCCACATCTAAAGCCACTTCACGCGGATGATAAAGCACGCTGGGGCTCACAAATGCATCTGGCTTTCAAGAGCATTGGTTAATCAGAAAAGGGGCGACCAGATTCCTCCTGGATTCTGGAGACCAAGTTGGGTCTCCTCTGACCACCTCATCTCCCATAATTAATTGATCAGGCGATGCATCTAATTTTGGAAAGGGTGGGAGTCCCAACACATCTGGAGGGCCACAGCTTTGGGGAGGAGGGACAGGCATCCCTGGAAAAAGGAACGAAGGAGGTGCCACATTTGGGGCGATACCCAGTGTTGTTCAGATGGCCAAAAGGTGTCTCCTAAAAACAAAACGGATTTTGCTTGGAAAGAATAAAGGAAGGATTTAGGAGATGGAGAAACACACCTGAGGTTAACCTCTCTCCCAGAAAAGGTTGAAAACTTTTCCAGAAGGACTTTGGGAAGACACAATGCTATGTTGGGTTTCTAATGTATTTCCGTATCTATTTTTGATATTTTTATGTCTTGGTCTCGTGAGCTATAGAGACACTATTTATGATTGCAAAGGGATATATATCTGAGAAATAAGCAAACAAATATTAAAGGTCTCACAATAAGTGGCTTGGATGATGTCTGATTCTTGGGATGTTTGCTTTTTGTCTTTCTGGTGTTTTGGAGCAGTGGGGCTGTGATTTTTCATGTTTATATATATAAATCTCATTCAAAGCAGTTGGGAATCCTATGCTTCACTTTATTGATGCTTTGCTCACATTGGGATTTTTCTTGGGATTATTTAAAGAAGTTTTGGAAGCTGCCTGAAGTCTTGTGAGGCAGGAAGTAAAGGAGGATGTGTAATAATAAACCAAAATGAAGCAAATCCAACCTCAAGACACCGCCAACACAATCACACCAAAATAGGAAGTTTTGTCACCAAAAGGAAGGTGGTGAGATTCAGGCAAGGCTGATGGTGCTTCTCTGGCTGGCCTTTCTGAGACCTGCTTTGGGCCACAACTGAGATTTGAGCATTAAGCCAGCTCCGCATAATCTGCCCCAGTTGCCTGTTAACAGCAGACACTGTTGAATTTTCAAAAATCCAGTGTGATGCTTTTTTAAAAGGGCACCTTAAATCTTCCCTATACTAGATCTTTTTAGGACTCTAGTCATTTGCACTTTAAGATATAGAGTCAGCTCAAGTTAGAAATTAAAGTGGAAGTAAAAGGAATTTAGTTTTGGGGGTAAAAGTTAAACACCCATGAAGGGTACAAAGGGGGACTTTAGGGGTGTTGAACCTTTTAGAGGCGTATAGAAAAAGAAATCTGGAAGAGGTTCCAGAAGCTGAGAAAAACTCGCTAAAATTTCTTCTACAATGTCTCCCCAAACCCTATCACAGCCCTTCTCCATCTTGACGACTCTGGCAGCCATACCCATCATCCCCAGCTCACATGGATGGACAGTGATGATTGCTAGAGAGCAGGGACTCTCTGCCAGCAGGCCCAAGCACAGGCATCAATTCCTTTCTAAATTAAATCCATTTTTCTCCTCCACCCCCTCATGTCCAGGGAGGTTTATATCGCACATGCTCCTTGGTCTTTTTCTCCAGAACAACAACCCTGCCAGGGAGGCTGTGGTGGGCGAATGCACCTGGCCCAAAACCTCTCAGTCAGCCTCCCCAGCTGAAGGTGGACTCGAACCCAGGTTCCTTACCCTCAATGTTTAGCTGAATTCCTTTTTTCTTTTTTTTCCTGTCCAGTTTTAGTCTGTGGGCTCATTGGAGCAGAGATTTATCTGCTTGCAGAGCAGAAGAACCTCCATGGGTTGGTAAGCAGAGCCATTAGCAGAGGTTCCTCAACCAAGCAGCTTGAAGTCCACCCATCTTCAAGTTGCCAAGGTTGAGAAACCCCGCATGAGAAGGGAAACAGGAATGAGTAGATGCCCAGTTATAACGCCACGCATCAGCTGGGCATTTCAGCTCCCACTGCCATTGCAAGGCTGTGTGGGCAGCATTTCCAAATGAGTCCAGGCTTGGGAAGCCCCCCTGCCCAGCTCCTCCCTCTGCGGAAGACCCTGAACCTTCCTCTCCCAGCGCAGATGACCGACAGTAACCCAGCCCGTGACGTCAGGCCCTCCACAGACACCCGGGAGGAAGAGGTGGGCAGGGCCTGGAGGGAGAGCTGCCAGCCCTGGCTGCCAGCCCAAGCTTGGGGGGCGGGGGGGGGGGAATGGCGGGGCTTTTTTGCCACCGTTCTATCTCAAAGGCTGCTCTTGTGTTCCCTGGATCTCCTTCTGCTCCCCACCGCCTTGTCACAATGACCCAAAGAGATGTTATTGTCCTTAGGCTAAGCACATGGGTGCTGGCACTCTCCCTGCAGCTCCACGTGGATGCACCTCAGACCCCATGGTGCCCAGCCTGCCTGGCTAAGCATGGGACTGGAGTCTACCCCACCAGGCCTGGGAGAGTCTCTGCCAGGGACGCCAACGGCTCTTCCAACCCAAGGGGGACTCTGTCCCCAGTTTTCTGGCAGGCGCTTCCCATCTTCCCTCGCCCGGTCCTGCCTCACCAAACACACCCAGCCTTTCCCCACGCGCGACGGATGGGGAGCCTCGCTTTCCTCTTGAAGCGGGGGTGGGGGGTGCCATCCCACTGAAAGGCACCGCGGACCGGCGTGGGGAAGACAGGGGTGGGCAAGCAACCCGGGTGAAGGCTGAGCAGGCACTTTAGGCACACGCAGGCACGCGCGCACACGCACACACTCGCCGGCGCCCGGCGCTCTTTGCAAAAAGCCCGAAAGGGAGCCGGCTTCCGACACAGAGGGGAAGACCCTCCGTCGGAGGCACCTCCTGACCCGAGGCTCCTGGGGCCGGAGGGGAGGGGTCTTCCCCGGCCGGGGTGCCCAGGAAAGGGCGACGCGCCCCTTCCCACCTCCCTACCGTCAATGTCGCTCAGGAGGGCCGTGTCGATCTCGGTGCTTTCGCGGAGCGTCAGCGAGAGGTCCAAGCCGTCCAGCGAAGGCTCTTCGAAGGGGTCCATCGCGGCGGAGCTGTCCCCAGCGCCCCTCGCCCCCTTGCCGAAGGAGCCCCGCCTCGAGGGGCAGAAGAGGCGAGGATTTGGAGGGAGGACAAGCGGAGACGCCCGGGTCACACTTGGGGCTGTCTCCCGTCCTCGGTCTCCGAAAAAAGCCAGCCAGGCAAACCCGTCCACTTTCCGCGGGGGTCTCCGGCTGCGCGAGGCTCCTGCCGCGGCTGGAAGGAGACGCGGTCAGTTGCGAACCGTAGCTCAGACCTGTGACCAGTGGCGGGGAGGAGCCTGGCCTGGGGCCCCGCCCCTCCGCTTCTTTCCATTGGCCGGAGGGGGGAGGGCGCGAGCCGCGAGTGCTTTCCGAGACTCGAGGCATCTTTGCGCTCCGAATCTGATCGGGCTGGCTGGCTGATGGTGGGGGGGAGGGGGGGATTGTGCCCCGGTTAGATTTGGGGCGGGGGTGGGCGGCAATAGACGGTGTGCTTTCCGTGCAGGAAGAACTGCACCTGTTGGATTCCTGCCACACACCTGGAAGAGGCAGAGCTGGGAACAGGTGGGAGGAATATGGGGAACAGGCTGTTCAGGCTGACTAGAGGAAAAAGGGGAGCACCCTTCAGCACAGACCCTTATCTCAGTCTTGGGTAACTTTAAGGGGGAGGGACTTCAACTCCCAGAATCCCCCCAGGCAGCACAGGAGTTGAAGTCCCTCCCCCTTAAAGTTACCCAAGATTGAGAAACATTGCTTTAACCTGTGACTTTTGCAAACAGCAGCAGTTGCTTCCTTTCTTTACCTGGGAATTGAGTGTGGGAAGCTGCTGTAATTTTCCACACTTAGGCTAATCTAACTGGCACTCCACCCTTTTTAACCCTCTCATCCCAGTTAACTCAGAGAACCAGTTCAAGATAGGGTTAATCTGGGGTGGAGGATGAGGATGGAGGCTCGTTCTCCGAGCTTGCAGGTTGGCTTCCCAACGTTTTGTTACCCTCAC